TATTTCTTTTTCTGTATGGCTCATACTTTTTGTATACAGCTTAAGAAGCCTAGGGGTGCCTAGGTAGCTCAGTCGTTTAAGCATCCAACTCTTGATTTCAGCTTAGGTCATGATCTCATGGTCGTGAGATTGAGCCCCACATTGGGCTCTGAGCTGGGCATGGAACCTGCTTAAGATTCTCTCTCTTCCTCCCCCCCTGCTCCTCCCCCCTTATTCTCTTTCCCTCTCTTAAAAAAAGAAAAAAAAGTCTTTGTGTGCCCCCACACAGAATTGTTTTCAGGGCTCTAAAGTACCCTCCAGTGACTGATCAGGCCAGGTGAACCCATGTCTACTGGACAGCTCACGGCCTGCCAGTGCATGTTGATGACACAGGTGGGTCATGGTTGAGGTTGGTGTGTGTTTGGCCAGATGGGATCCCAGTGAGTCCACTTGACTTTTGGCAGCAACATTAGTGGTTTGACATTCTGGCTACCCACCAATTGTTTAGCCCAGAGAATGGAGATGCTATGCTGCCCAGAAAACTCAGTAGTGGGTTTGGAAAAGGAAAAAGGGGCCAAGGGACTAGGCCCTGCATGTGAGGTCCCCACTTCCACCACCCACAAGCCCAGGACAGTGTTCTGAGAACCCTGCGAACTCTAGGAATCTTGTCCGGGCTCCAGAGGCAGAGAGGCAGTCCTCACACTCAGGCCTCTCCACCAGGCTGCCCCAGGGTCTCTGAGGTTGGGTAGGAGCCCTGGGCAGCACTCTGAAGAACCGGGTTCTAGTCCTCCTCCTTCACCTGAGGAAGTCACTCCCCTGTCTGGGCCCATCTGTAAATGTGGAATTGGCATGGAGCAATGGAAAGAGCTGGGACTTTGGAGTCAGGCTGACTTTGGCTCGAATCTTGCCATCTTGACGGTTTTGGGCAATTTACTTCATCCCCCTGGGCCTGATTATTTTATTGGCAAAATGGAAGTAATAATAATGCCAAAGTGAGAGGGTTGTTCTGAGGACTAGATGGGAAAGTGTAATGTTGAGCTCAGACGGCGGGAGTGTTTGGTACATGTTGGCTATCGTCATGTGTTGCTTACCTTCCCGGGGCTGGGTGCTGGGGATACAGAGATAAGTAAACCTCAGTCTAGGGGAGAAGGAAAGCACAAAAACCAATCATCCTAAAACATGACAGAAGGCAGTGTGCACAGACTCTGTGAAGAAGGTATTTGTATCCGCATTTAGCAGAGGGGGAAATTGAGGTCCATAGAGATGAAGTAACTTGCCCAAGGTCACACATAGGCAACTCTTCAAGTAGACAAGGACTCATGTGTGTCCTCTAGGCCTTGGCTTGGGGCCTAGAGGCTCTAAGGCTGGAACAGGAGCTCCACAGAGAGCTGGGAAGTGAGCATGGTGAGAAGGTGGACTAGGTGAGGAAGGCCTCTGGTGCCCAGAGGGGTTTTGACTGAACCTTGCAGGCATGGGGGCCATTCGGTTCTTCTTCCTTATTATCCCTAGTCCATCTCCCCTCTCCATCCCATCCCCATGGCCACCACTGGCTCTGGGCCCTGCTCCTGGATGACTAGAACGGCCTTCGCACTGCTCTTGCTCTCCTTCTGGCCACCGCCACTTTGTTCTCCCAACAAAGTAAATTTTCTAAGATAGATATTTGATCCAGTGGTTCCCTGTCACCCCACGATGAAACCCAAGTGCCTTTAAAAGCCTGCAGGGCCCTATGGAATGGGTTATCTGTCTGATTCTCCAGTGCCATTGTATTCTAATCCTGTACATTTCCTGCAAGGTGCACACACATACTGCACCCAAGACACACTCAACTTAGTTCCTCCTTCATCTGAGGGCCTTTGCACATGCTGTGCCCTCTGCTTGACACACTCCCCTCTTATCTCAGTGGAGGTGTTGCCTTCCTGGCATGCTTTCCCAGAGGCGAGCCAGCTCTCCCCCTTATGGCCAGCTGTGGCTCCTGTGCTTTTCCCCATCACAGTGCTTACACCTCTGTGTTGAAACTGTGGTTGTACTCCTCATTTTCTCTAGATTGCAAACTCTTTGAGGGCAGAATAGCATTTCCTGCTCTCACTCTCTCCTCAGGGCTTGGTGCAGAGCAGGCACTCAGAATATTTGGTGAATGAATAAGGGGATAAGGGCCGGGTATCTCCTATCTCCTACCTCCTTCCTCCGTCTGAGAGACCCTGGGTGCAACGATGGCCAGGACTATTGAGATAGCAGAAACCTTTCAGGGAGTGATGGATGGTGCGGCTGGCACTTGGCGCTGCCAGCCAATGCATGAGTTTTAAGAACGGATGTTTGTGGTGAGTCCAGTTATGCTCCAGTTTTTGAAATGAGTCATGTTGATGATGGCCATCCTGCCCATTGAGACTGAGTCAATTTAGTGAGAATTAATTACAGATGAGAAACTAGCTTGCAGAGCAGTTAATATTTCAGTTCCCTGGGGTGCGATGCACATGCAGCCATCAGTCTTGTCTTTGCTTGTCCTTCCTTCTCTCCCTCGCCTTCACCCTCTTCCCTTTTTTGTGGTGGTCTGGGCGGCAGGGTGACCGAATTATGATCTTGGTTCCCCTATGGCTCACTCTCCTTTTCCATTAAATAAAGGTCTTTCAGTCAGTCAGTAGTCAGCAAGTACTATAAAACTCCTCTGTGTCACATGCTCTGTTGGACTTTAGAAACATAGCAGGAAACAAAACAGATGTGACCCTGCTCTGAAGAGGTCATAACTAAAATATGATCACAAATGCCATGGGGATAGCACTTTACAGTTTACAAAGCAGTTTTAAACATCAGGATGAACCTCTCAGCAGCCTCATGCTGTACTTAGTGGTACTGCTATCCCCATTTTACAGATGAGGAAATGGAGGCTCAGATAGGTGACAGCTTGTCCACAGTCATCAGCTACTCTTCTGGTGTATCTGAGCTTCAACCTGGCAGAGAGCCTATGACAATGTGTTGAAAGTCCTCTGTCTACCAGCTGCCCAAACAAGAGGGATTACTGTCCTCATCAGGATGTTTTCTCTCTTTCTCTGGGATGCCAGGGCTGAGAAGACCCTGCAGGGCTGGAGGCTGGGTCCTAACCATAGGGACTGATAAGGAAGAGTGGGAGGGTCCTCCTGCCCTGGGTCAGCAGAGAAACCCCCACTCCAGGTTCAGAACAACGCCAGTGTCCCAGAGCCAGCTGCGGGCAGAAATAAGAATCAAACACCACGCCCCCCTCGTTGCCTCTCACATGTAGTTCACACTTTCTCCACCCTCTGAAATATGCTCTCAGGAAAGGCTCTGATAGTTTAGGTACAATGGGATTTGGTTTCTAATTATAGCTCTAGCATGTGGCCTCCGCTTAAGGACACACATGCCTTCAGCCAGAGAGTTTATTCATTAGTTCAAGACTCAGCCCCAAGTTTCTGACCTCAGTGATGGGGCTAGAGGTGTTCTGACCTTCAAAGTGCACCAGACTGGGGCTGATGAGGGCTGGCCTCAGGAAGAACCAGCTCATTCTCCCTCCTTGGGACCACAGGCCAGGGTGGGCCGCCCTCTCCTTGTCCTTCCTCCCAATTCCCAGCAGAACAGGTTGCAGGAGCCGGAGGTCAGCTCCGGACAGGATGAGGTGTTCAGGAAGCAGAGACCTTTATAACCCCCACATCTGCTGTCCTCTGTCTGATGGCGCAGGCAGCCTCTTTAAAGCTAGTGGAGGGGCAGGGCCCCGGAGAGTGTGCTGCTTCTCACCTCCTGTGTCCTGCTCTCTTCTCAATCCCTCCTTCCTTCCTACCCTCCCTCTCTCTCCTCTGTCTTTGTTCCTCTCTCTTTCTCTCTGCTTTCTCCTTTTTCTTCCTCTCTCCCCTTGTCCCTCTCTCTGGCCCTGTCTACCTCCCTGCCTTTTTTTCCTAGCCCTCCTCTTCTCCTGCATTCCTTTACTGTGGGGAGAACATCAGAAAGACTTCCCGGAGGAGGGGCTGCTCATCCTCAGGCATTTTCCCCTTTCAGGCCTCAGTGTAAAGAGACCATTCTAGCAATGAAAACTGTTCAGCAGTGGAATTAACTGTCTTGGTCAGTAATGAGTTCTCCATCAGGGAGGCAATCAAACAAGGCAGTGTGATCATCTTTCCTAAATGTTATAAAGGTGATTTGACTTTCTTGATTTGGACTGGACCACATGATCTCTGATGCTGATGTTTTTCCTGATGTGCACCACTCCACAATTTGAGGTGGTTTCAGTATATCCCATATTTTTAAAACTACAGACCTGTGGCTCATGCAAGAGCAGGTGTATTTGAAGATAAAATGTTTTTTGTTAGAAAAAGGTTTTGCACTTGTTTTAATTTTGGTGTTCATTAAATTTAGTGGAATTTTTTAAAGTAATCACAATACAGATATTTTAGAAAACAAGAAAAAAGTCATTCCTAATCTTAGACCCTTGACACAACCACTGTTTACATTTCGATATATTTCCTTTTAGCTTTTTCCTTTTTTCCTGTTTTACGGGATTGTGTTAGGATAGAAAGACAACTTTGTATCCCTTCTTGATTCCTAGCTGTAGGACATGAATATTTATACATAGTCACCATCTGCATCATTTTCAGTGACTGCTTAATACACCACGGAGGGGTTGCCTATGATTTCTTTAGACTTCGTTTTAAAACAACACAGTGCATGAACCTTTTCAAAGACGGATAATGGTAGAGCACCCTGTATTTCTTCAGAGAGGGAATTACCCAAATATTCGGAAGAAGAGCGTGACCCAAGTTCAGGAATGAACACGCTTTAAACGCCCTCTGTTGTAACAGGAGTTGTGTTGGGTGCTTTTTGGGCACCAGTTATCTGTGATCATCAGGTGTGTGTTATCACCCTTGTTTTACAGGTGAGAATGCTGGGGTCTAAAATGCTGACCTAAGGTCCTGTGCTATCTGTGTGTAGGTCAGGGCTTCAAAGCCGTGGGGGAGCTGCAGAGGGAGAACTTGTGCTCAATCCTATCAGCTGTGGGTAACAGGCCTTTGGGGTTTCAGGATTTCCACGGAGCTGTCATGAGGGCCTTGGATGAAATAGACCAGGAGGGCAAGGACACGTTGGCCAGGGAGGAGCTGAGGCGTGGCCTGAGCGAACTCCCAGCCATCTGCGACCTTCACCAGGGGATCCTGGAGGAGCTGGGGGAGAGGCTGTTGCACTGGTGAGCCGTCCATGGACTCCTGCCCCTACTTCCATTGCACTGGGGGTGGGGGTGCTTAAAGTCCCAGCATGTGAAATGGTGTCTCCATTTGACCAATGCAGAAGCTGAGACACAGGTATTAGGTCATTTGCCCAAAGTAAAACAAGCGCGGGAGGGTCAAGCTGGGGTTGCCACCCAGTAATGTGACTCCAGCGCTCACCAACGAACACTGTGCTGGTCACAAGGCTGAGTTCTCGCTGTCCCATCCCCCTCCCCGGCTGCAGGGAGGGCCAGCAGAAGGTGGCTGACGTCTTCCTGGCCCGGGAACAAGAGTTTGACCACCATGCCGCTCACATCCTGCAGTTCGACAGGTATCTGAGTCTGCTCAGTGAGAACTGCCTGCATTCTCCCCGGCTGGCCGCTGCTGTCCGCGAGTTTGAGGTGGGTCCCTTGGTCCTCTGGAACCTGCTCTAAGGATACAGGGGCCGGGTGGGCATGGAAGGGCTTACTGCGAATCAGTGGGGCTTCTTGGTAGGTCTGAGGCTGGGGGTCAGAGCGGAAGACCTGGCTGGGGAAGGAGAGGAGGGAAGACCTAGAACCGAGAACATTCCCCGATGGGTGATTGATGAGAACTCTATGAGCCCCCACCATGGTGAGGGTTTTAGTGACCATTCTCCTGTCCCAGGAGAAAAGCACAAAGCAAGATGGGGCCCCAGCCAATGGAGTGACCAACAAATGGATCAACAAACTGGGTATCCAGTTACTAGACAGAAAAGTGGGGGCTTTTTTTTCTTTTACTAACATTAATGAAAAGCAGGGACTGGTAGATGCACTGACTGCGAGCCTGAAGGAAGGAACTGTCACAGCAGGGTGGTGCTAATCTGGGAGGCCTTCCTGAAGGAGGGGATCCTGATTTTAGAGATGGGGAGAAGCTCGGTGTGGCCAGGAAGAGGTGTGGATGGGACAGTATATGAGGGATGCCATGAGCATCCTTGAGACAGGGGTCTCTGATGGAGTTTTGTCCTCCCTGTCTCCTTGGGAGCAGCAGAGTCAGCAAGGAGGTGGCCAGAACGTGAAGCACCGGCTGCTGCGGGTGGTTCAGCGCCTCTTCCAGTACCAAGTGCTCCTCACAGGTGGGCCCCACAGGAGGTCAGCATGCACTGAGGTGATGCGGGGAGGGAAAGCCCCTGAGGAGGGGTGCCGGTGGCAAGCTGTATTATGACAACCTCCCCTCCCACCATGGCGGAAATGGGTAGGGGGAGGATGGCTCTCAGTTCCTGGCACCTGCTCCTCCAGACATGCTAGACTCTGCCACCACCTTCCTTCCAGCTGAGTTTGGGACCCCCTGCTGCCGCCTTGGAAACCTCACTTCAGCGGCTACCTTCTGTGTCTTCCTTCAGCCTCTCTCATCCTAAAACACAGAAACTCCCACCTTCCCCTGTTCTGCATTTCCTCAGTGGGTATCTCATTTCCCTAAAGCTGTTCTTATCACCAAGTCCTCCTTGTGGCCAAATCAATGGACATTTTTCACCTTGAACCTGCTCTGGCCATCTCTGTGGCTTAGCCACTGACCACTTTCTGCTTCTCAACCCTCTCATTCTGAGGTTTCTGTGATACACTCTCTCCCCCTGTCTCCCTCAGACTTCTCTGCTACCCTTCTCCATCTGTGTTGACAACCTCCCTTCATCCACTCTTCCATAAATGTCAGTGTTTCTTGGGGCTCAGTCCTAGGTCCTCTTTCCTTCCTTCCCGTTTTACAGACTCTCCCCTGGGAAAGTCATCCCCTCCCCTACCTCCACCTGCCAGAATATACCACACCTCTGTCCTGAGCTCCAGACTCATTTACCCAGCTGCCTCCCAAATGGACAAAGACACCAGGCATGGGGAACTGTTGTTCCAGTAAGGGAGACAGACGCCCACACATAGAGATAGGCATGTAATTCCAGGTAGTGACCAGGGCCACAAGGAAAGTATATTAGGGCCAAGGGACAGAGAATTTGTTCATCTAATTCAACAGATGTTTATTGAGTATCTCCTGTGTACAAGCCCTGTGCTAGACGCTAGAGATACAGCAGTGAATTAAACAACCAAAACTCTGTACCACTGTGGAGTTTATACTTTAACAAACTGACAAGGAAATAAAAATATATCAGTGATAAGAGCTCCGAAGAAAATAAAGCAGGTTAAGGGGATGGAGGTAACAGGGCTCTGAATTAGATACAGCATGGAGGAGGGATCTCTCTGAGGAGGTAGCACTGCACAGAGATCTCAGCCAAGTGAGGACATGAACCCTATGAAGATCCGGAAGAAGAGAGCACCAGGTGGAGGGAGTAGTGAGAGCAAAGGCCCGGGGTATTAACAGGCTTGGCACGTCCAAGCAATAGTAAGAGTGCCAGCATTGCTAGAATGAATGAGTGACATGGAGAGGTAGCTGGAGAGAGAGCTGGAGCTTGTGGGTATAAATGTGTTAAAGGTTTAATACATCACACTCTGCTGTGATGATGGTCACATCCGTTCTCCCAGTAGACGGTGTGCTTCTCAGAGGCGGGGATTCACCTTGTCTGTGAATCCTAAAGGCATAGCACAGTGCCAGGCGCACAGCAAGCGCTCAGTAGATACTTGTTGAATGAGTGAATGACGACCAGTAGTGGCAATGATGCTGGTGATGGTTCAGGGGCCTGTTTTGTTCTAGTGTGGTGGGGTGGTGGGCTAACAGGGGTGAGAGGGGTAGGTACCCCATTCTTCTGGCACTTTTCCTCCAAGTCTGGAGAGGGGGTCTCCTGCTGTGGACACGAGGGACTGGCCTCCCAGGGGCAAACTGACCCTGGCTCTTGTTCTCCCTGCAGACTACTTAAACAACCTTTGTCCTGACTCAGCTGAGTACGATAACACGCAGGGTAAGTGCAGCATGAACCCGGAGGATGGGGACGTGTTCCTCTTTTGGCCCTGTCCCTGGCGCAGGACATAGCCCCCTCCCTAGCAGCTGGATGTGCAGTGGGCAGGAAACCTCTGGGGCTTCTGGGATGATGACCCGCTCCCCTCAAGCACAGGACTCCCCAGGATGGGCTGTCATCCTGTCAAAGGAGAGGGCAGTAATCAGAATTTGGTGCTAGGAGGTGGTGCCAGGTCTCAAAAAGTCACCACAGTGTCCCTGTTTCCTCCCAATTCTATGTGACTGTCCCTGCATATGACCTACCAGGGCAGTCCCTATTTTAACATATTCAATTTATAGACAAGGGCACTAAGGCACAGAGTGGTCAAATCACTGTCAAGGACACTTAGGCTGTAGTAGCAAAGCAAGGGTTGGGCCTGTGACCTGACCCAGCTGTGGGAAAACTTGGTGCCTCCCACACACAAGCCCCTACAACTGCGGTGATCTTGGGGAGTGGGTGAGAGAGAGGGGAGGACAGGAAAGAGGCGAGGATGGTGGCTCCTGGACTGGCCCTCCTCCTCAGAAGGCCTGCTATCTTCTCTGTTTCCCTCCACAGGTGCCCTCACCCTCATCTCCAAAGTCACAGACCGTGCCAACGACAGCATGGAACAAGGGGTAAGTCCATTTCCTGGGCTCCTTCTCTGGGGTTCAGGTCTAGGCTCCCCTCCAGCCTGCCCAGGTCTGCCTTGTGATACTCCACTTCTGGGGGTGCTGCAGGCATCCATCTGTGGGACCTGGCAAAGAGTTGTTGGCCCTTGGGTTCTGTCCCTGGCACTTGCTGTGTGAACTCAGGCACTGTGTGTTCCTGTCCGTGTCTCTGTTTCACCATTAGAATAGTGGGGGGGGCTACAGACTTGTACAGATCTGGTAAGTAATGTTCCAGCTGTGGTCTGAGACCATCTGCATCAGCACCTGGAGTGCCTTGTAAGCTACAAATTCCTAGGCATACCTTACATCTTCTCAGCCAGAATATCTGGGGGTCAGGTCCAGGGATATGCATTTTTTTAAAGATTTTATTTATTTATTTGACATAGAGATAGCGAGAGAGGGAACACAAGCAGGGGGAGTGGGAGAGGGAGAAGCAGGCTTCCCACTGAGCAGGGAGCCCGATGCGGGGCTCGATCCCAGGCCCCTGGGATCATGATCTGAGCTGAAGGCAGACGCTTAATGACTGAGCCACACAGGCGCCCCAGGGATATGCATTTTTAACAAGCACCCCAGGTAAATGTTTTGCTCACAAAAGTTTGAAAACCACTTGTCCACAAGAATATGTGAGCTCTAACTACACGCCGGGTTCTGCCAGAGTGTGACTCTGTTTGTTGGACTCTGATCCAGTATTTACCAGTTTTCTGCCAAAGACGACCAACTTTATCCCACATCCCAGCTCTGTTCAAGTGGCTACCTTGATTACTTGTGTCCCGTATTTTCTGCTCCACTAAGATGTGGCTAGAGCTTTGTGTTGAGAAGGATTCTGAGGCTGAGTCCTAGCCCAGGGGGAAAGAGTTCAGTGATCAGTTAGTGATGTGTTCCACCGGCAGAGGTGGGGGTGATGGTGGTATGCATGCTGAGCACTTGCTCAGCTCTGCTGTGGCAGATACACAGAGCACCCTTTTAGCAAGTCATCTACAGGTAGAAGGAGAGGGGAGTCACATCTATTAGACACCTACTCCATGTCAGTCTTGTGTTGGGAACTGGAGATACAGAGTTAAAACATGAATCCCAGCACGAGGAGATCACAGCTCATGGAGGAGTAAACGTGTGGACATGATAAGCATCATGAGGGAGAGAGAAAATGCCACATGGTTCAGAGAAGGGAGCCATCCCTCCCAGCCGGGGCTGTGAGAAGAGATGATGGAGGTGCCCCCACAGGGAGGACATATGCCTCAAAAGCAGAGAGAGGAAAGATGTGCCAGGAAGAGGAGTTGACCTGGGCAGAGGCATGGAGGTGGAGAAGCGTAGGTCACACCCGAGTTCAGAGAGCCACCCAGCCTGGCAGGAAGATGGGATCAGGGTAGGTGAGGGAGGACAAGTCTGAACAGATGGTATGCTGAGTGTGGAGGCTAAAGCCAGCTGGGTGTGAAAATTGGTACATCGAACATGTTGTCATCATCAGGTTGTCTGTCCTCCTGCTCTGGGGTGCATGAGCCCCTTGCTCTTTGTTGTTTTAGCATCATGTACATGCAGTAAGATTTCCTTCAGCGTAGCCAAAGACAGAGGTGCTTTGGCGGCCCATGCCCCATCATGACATAGCATCAGATGGGCTGGCTTCTCTGCACCTCACTTTAGCCAGGGATGCCTCTGTTTCCAAAAAGGAACACTAGGTCAGGAAGGGCCATGTCTTCCCTACTGTGGGTGAGCTCATGTGTGGCACCACCTTGCAGGAGGAACTGAACCCCATCCCCCTCCCCCGGCTTTCTCGAAGTGTGGGGTTAGATGCTGTGCCTGGCACAGGCTGGCTCTTGTCTCTCCAGCTGCCTGGGGATACCACACTGGGCCTGCTCTGGATTATCAGCCCCTACTGCATGCCTGCGGGGATAGGGATTGGACTCTGCCTGGGCCATGGACAGGCAGGTCCAGATAAACCCAATGCCAGGGCAGAGCTCAGTGGCTTGAGTGGCTAAAGGGCAAGGCTGGGGCTCTGCCTCTCCTTCACCATGGCCACTACCCACCTCAGGCCTCATCACCTCCCAATGCTACCATTCCATTCAGAGTGATCCTGTTAAAATGTGTCTGATGGTGCCATGCCCCCATTTTACAAAGCCTTCTATGTCTCCACATTGTGTTCAGTAGAAGTACTCATTGGTTGTGAGAACCAGGGAAAGCTTCCTGGAGGTGGCAGCATTCACGTAGGTTTTATGCTCATAATAACTCCCCACAAAGGTAGCTAAGCTGGAGATATGAGTTCTAGGAAGAGCCAGATCCCACCACCCTGAAATGGGACCCACATACCTACCTGACAGCTGGTCTGAAATGCCACTAATAAACTCACTAGAATAAAGTACTGACAGCCAAGCCAAACTATAAATCCATTGAACAGCCTGTTAACGGAAAACTGTTAGGTGATAGGAGAAGCTTTGGGAAGTGTGACTCTAAGAGCTGAGGCCCAGGTAACCCCTCCCCTGCTGTGATCCTCACATTTTGATGGAGGACAAGGAATAAATGGGAGCAGTGTGGAAGACGGGATGGGAAAGTCTTAGAAGTGAGAGAAGTCATCCTCACCAGCTTTGCAGGAAAGGCTGTGGCAGATTCCCATGTGGCATCCTACTCACGGTGACCACAGCTGCCTCTATTGAGCAGGGAATCGTGCCTGACGTTCTCCTCTAATCCTCAGGGGAACTATTATCAGCCCAGTGTCACAAGCAAGGAAACTGAGGCCTGGAGAGACGAGTTGCTTCACCCAGGATCACTCAGCTCTCAGAGTGGGAGCTGGGTTTGAACGTGAGCCTTTCTTAGCCACCAGGCTGGACATGCCTGCACACATCACTCACAGGTTCAGACCTGTAACCTCACACACGTTCTTGCATGAAAACACGTGCACATGCCCATGCGCGCCTCACCTGCTCCTCTCTCGCGTGACACACATAAATGACCATAGGAACATTTTTCTCTTTCCCACATTTGGGTCTTTTTCTTTCTTTACCCAGCCATGAGGAATGTCATGAAACGTAGGCATGGAGGTTTAGAGTTGCTCCCAGGTTTGTGAGCACTGGGAACTCCTTCAGGAACTGGTCACAGGTTGGATCAGAGAGTGGATGCACCTTGCTTCTAACTGCAGTTACTCAGACCAAACCTCAGATTCCCTAGGAGAAAAATCCCACATCTGGTTGCAAGGTCAGGCTTTCGAGGCTTTTGATCAAATTAGCCGTTGACTGTCCTCCTCCCCATTGGATGAAAGTAAGCCGTCTCCCTCCAGAACAGAGTGAGGGGACAGGTGTAAGTCTGGGCTCTCCGATTTTCACTGTCTTTTTTTAAATAGACTTAAAAAAAAAAAATTTATTGAGGTACAATATATGTAACATAAAATTGACCATCTTAACCATTTTTAAGTGCACAGTTCATCAGCATTAAGTACATTGACATTGTTGTGTGACTGTCACCACCATCCACCTTTAGAACTTTTTCTCTGTCCCCAACTGAAACTGTCCCCACTAAATTCTAAGCCCCTCCCCCCCAGCTCCTGGCCACCACCATCCTACTTTCTGAACAGATTTTATTTTTTAGAACAGTCAGAGTTGCTCTAAAGTCCCTGTCTGATGGTTCTAATAACATTTGTGTCACCTCTCCTGGTTTTGTTGAAAGCTTTATTTCCTGAAAACGAGTTGGGGTTCTTTCTTGCTTTTTGTGTTTCTAATAATGTTTGATTGAAGCTGGCATTATGTGTTGGAGGAATTATGGAGACTGAGGGAAACAGTATCTGCCCCAGAAGTGGTAGCGCCTGATTTTGATCATGCCGTTCATGTAAGGGGTGTAAGGGGTGGGGGTTGGGTCAGTCCAGTCAGTAGTTGAGTTGGGTTTGGGTTTTGTTATTGTTATGTCACCCTCAGAGCCCCACAGACTTCACACTCGTCCAGAAGGGGGCTGCTATTACCTGGTACTGTTTGTGGGGCCTGAGATGCCAGAAAGTTTTTCTCATTTTCCTTCCCCCCCGCTGCTGCAGCGTTTAGCAATCCCTGCACCCCAGAAGGGGCCTCTCTCCATGCCCTTGCCCCTTCTCAGAGGTAGACTGCTATTTCCTGTTACGCACTACTACGCTCCCAAGTCTGTGCTCTCCGGGACAAGCCTCAGTCTTAGCAGGGCCTGCAAGCCAGGCTTTCTCTGCTTTCCTGCCCCTTCTCTGCATGGTAGCCAAACACTGCCCTGTAGCTGTGGCAGGTCTTGGACAGGTTTCTGCTTTGTATTGGTGCTACTTCCCCTCTCCTCAGGGAAGACAGCTTTTGCTTCTGCCCTTTCCCCAGGAGTAGTGAGTGGCACTTTGCCTGTCCTCTGGGAGGGGATTTCTTAGCCTCTCCCAGGGGCTGAGGGGTTTGTACAAGAGAGGGGGCTGGGGAAGTTGGCAGGATTTTATGCCAGCCCCCCCAGTGGTAGCCTGCATGCCTTCACCGCCAGGGGGGTTCCTTCTGGCCCCCTGCCCTGCCTCTAGTCTTCCTTGTGAGCCCCCGGTGGGAACTGCTAGAAAAGAAGAGCTTGCAAGTGACTGCAGATGTGCCTCGCATCTGGGGCTCTCTGTTATTCTAAACTGTCCCACCAGCCCACACCTGACCTTTCAGAATCCATTAACATTTTAGTTGCTTTCTTCTCCTTTCTGCTGGCCGCCCCTTCCTCCTGTGTGTTGCAGCAGTGCATGTGGCTCACGTCGCTGTGAAGGGGTTTGTCAGTCTTCGGGATTCAGGTCCGGTGGGGTTGCCTTGGGACTTCAGCTCTGTAGTAGATGTAAGAGGAGTCAGGGCTCTGTGGATTACCTTTTCCTCATTATTAGGCTAGGGGCACTGTTCTCTATCACGAGTGGAAATGGAACAACTATTACACGTTTCTGATGTGCAGGATATTGTGCCCAAAACTATCGACACGGTAAAAGCCTTTTCAAGACAATTTCCCTACACACAATTTTCACCTTGTTAATTGACTTTAGAACCTGACCCTGCATAAGGTTCAGGGGGCGCCCACCCCATGGGTGAGGCACTTGTTATTTCTAGCATAATGGGGTGCTGTACGGAGGGAAGGAAGGCATGTCACTGCATATTATATGTAACCCAGTGAGGGCCAACAGGAGTTCCCAGGCACACTTCATTTTCTTCAAGGAGCACAGATCTGTTTCTTCCCCAGGTGGAACATTTTCTCGATTACTCTCCCTCAGAGGCCCGGCCCTGGGCTGTAAGCCCAGAGAGACAGTCTGGTCTTGGGCATCTCTCTCCTCTGGGCTAGTGAAGTCTAGATGTGCCAGACCTTATGGGGCACACAGATTTAGAGTAGGAGCCGTGGCCTGGAGATGTATATGGGTCTCGGATGGCACAGCAAGAGCAAGTGACTTTCCCCACGGCACGCAGAAGATGGCGATGTCAGATCCCAGGCCCAGGGGGAGTAGCCTGAGTATAGGCAGCCCACATGTCTGGCATCCAGCAGACCCAAGCTCAGGTCCCAATCTTGCCACTGACAGGAGGTCAGATTTTGGGCAAGGCCCTTCTGGGTTCCATTTTCCTCCTCTGAAGTAGAAGCAATGCCCTTGAAGGGGTCCTGACCATTTCCCTCTCGTTCTGCTCCCACCCATAGGAAAACCTGCAGAAGTTGGTCCACATTGAGCACAGCGTTCGGGGCCAAGGGGATCTCCTCCAGCCAGGAAGGGTGAGTGCCACCGCCGCCATGGGCAGGGACAGAGGGCGGCCTGGTAGGCAGGCGGGTGAGGCTCTGATAAGACCCATTGTTCAGCTGGGCTGGTCCCAGACAGGCCTGGCTGCAGGTGCTGTTTACCCGCAGAGGGAGGGAGGGCAGGGCGCGGGTTCTGCTGGGCTCACAAGGCCCATGGGCTGCTCCCCTGGGGTTTTCCACTTTCAGGACCTTTAAAGAAACAGTGTCATTTGGGTTCAGCGTCCCCTGTGGTTCTTTTCACCTCTGAGAAGAAGAGACACCGATTATTTTTAGTTTAGCCCAGCATCGCTGGGAAATCAGGAAAACCATCTCTCAAGAGCCCCAACAAAGCATCTTAAAAATAACATTTTTCAAGAGACAGATTTACCCACTTTTAAGCTTCCAAATGGAAAACATAAAACTCAGCTCAAAAATAGTCAAAAATGTGTTTGTTACCTGCTATGGTCCATGAAGGACAAGAGACAAAGAAATGAGAGGTTGTACTCAGGATAATTTACTCAAAATTAGCAGGAATCTCACTGGTCTGAGATTCTGTAAAATCAAGATTAGTAAATATTTATTGAACATCTATTTTATTTATTTTTAAGTAACTTTAAACATCTGTTTTAAACATTCTCCAGAATTATGGAGCCTGTAGCAACTGTTCACAGGTCTTCAGCTGTTTTAGCAAACCTCCAGAGGCTCCGTTCTGAAGGTCTCCTCATGGCAGCAAATCAGGGAAAGAGTCCCTGTCTGGATCCCTTGGAGACCAGAACAGTGTCTGGGGCTTGGAATAAGTCAAGGTGGGGTGCTCCTAAGAAGCAGAGCCTCCTGTCTGTCTCCAGAGCTGTTGTGGCAAACATGGGCACCTCCCTAAAGCTGGGAATTCACCCATGAATTCACTTTGGAAGCCATCGTAACTTAGGTTTCCCACTCAGGACCTTGTCCCCACTCTTCCTTAGGATGGCAGCAGGCATCAGCCTAACCCCTCAGGTCTGCTTCTCTCCCCACAGGAGTTTCTGAAGGAGGGGACACTGATGAAAGTAACAGGGAAAAGCAGACGCCCCCGGCACCTGTTTCTGGTAAGTACCTAGCCCCCAGCCCAGCCCCAGGACTGTTGAATTCTGTGAAATTTTCTAGGGTCATTATTCAAAGACAACTGGAAGGGAGGGGTGGGTGCTAGAACAGAGTCGAATATTTAGGATGAGGATCATTCTACAGAGCTGAGCTTTCCAGAGAGCTGAGAGCTTAACCCTTACCAACCACAGCCCTTCCTGCATTATTTGAGTGATTTTGAATGGAATTTTGTCGAAATTGAATTACCTGTGTCCCCATCTGAAACATCCTAACCCTGGGAATTTCTTATCCTGGAAATAACTGTTCCACTGCCTTATCTAACGCATGAGAAGACTGAGATCCAGAAGGGGAGTTTCCTTGGCTCCATCTCCCAGCAGGCTCGAGGCGGAGGCCCAGGAGGGAACCAGGGTTGTGACCCCAGTGTAGCATTTTCTCCACTGTGCACAAGACAGAGTACAGTGTAACATTTCTGATGCTTTACAGCCACATTCTGGAGTACCAGGGAATGTCCAGGCCTGTCGCTTAATAACATCAACCTCTGTGGCTGTTGAGCTACAAGCAGCAATTTGCCCCAGTCCTACAACTCCAAGTTGTTTTGCCTTTTAAGTTCTCCTACCTGCTGTGTATGATTTTCTCTCTTTTCTTCACTATTTTAGCTTTCTTTTTTTTTTTATTACTCTCAGTCGTGGCTGCCCCAACAGTCTCCTTATACTTTGTTAAGAGTTGTGTGCAAAGTAACAGTAAACGGGCTCCAAGTGTCTAAAAACCTGTTTCAGACATTTAGTGAGCACCTCTGGTGTGCTGGGCACTGGAAACAAAGAGATAAAAGCCTCATGCTGTACCCTCAACCTTCAGTGTCAAATGTAAATACCGAGTTATGAGAATGGTATGTAATCTCAGGGCCACGGGAGCAAAAAGGAAGAGCAAAGAGAGTCTGGGGGAAGCCGTCCTTTGTTCCATGTTAGTCTAAAAATTTGAAAACTCTTTCTATTGAGAAGAAATCATACCCTTGAATTTAGGGATATCTATGTGGTCATGAGCCGGAGTGAGCATGTTAGATCCTAACCCAACACTTACCCCCTCTATAACCCTTAGACAAGTGACAGACCTGTCTGAGCCTCTGGTTTCCCAGGAGGAAAGTAGGAATACTGGGCGGTTTGGGGAATTAAATGAGGCACATGGAAGCCGCTTATTTGGTAACAGTGTCCTCCCTTCCCTCTGGCAATTGCCGTATGGGACACAGGTCCTCCCTCTGCGCCAGCACAGCCCTGGGGAGAGTTGGAGCCCACGAGCCCGTGTCCTCTGAGAATGAAAAATGAAGGTCCAGGATGGTAAAAAAGGAGCGTGAGCTTTGGAGTCAAACTGGATTCACATCCCAGTTCTGACACTTACTGGCTCTGAGGCCCATGGCACATCTGTCATTGCCCTTCTCTTTACAGTGGGGTAATAGTCCCTCCTGCCAGTGGGGGAAAGGAGTGAAGCCCCAGCTGGAATAGAGGGAGCTCCGTGCTGGTGCCCTAGCCATTCCCCATCTGGCCACCTCCTCTGGCCAGGCTCTGCTCATGCCTGTGCCTCTCACAGGGACCCAGACTGCCAGGGAAGACACAGCGTCTGTCCTTCTCTCCCTCCTCCCCTCCCTCACGTGCCCTCCAGTATCTAACTGGCCCTTCATCATAGCCTCTCTCTCAGGCATCTCGATGCTAGGCCTGGGTCTCTCTTATTCCCTTGTTATTATTAGGCCATAGCTCCCCGCAGGCTGAACCTGGGTCCCGTTCTTTGCTCTGTCTTAGCACAGGACCTTCATAAATTTCCCCTGGAGAAAGAGGTGGGAGGAAGATAGGTTCTTGAGCCAGGAAGACCCATGATGAACACACTTAAGACTTTTTCTTCCCCATAAGGTGCCAGTTTCATAAAATAATTGTAACTGTAGAACAAAGGGCATCTGTCCACCTGCACGGGGGTTTTGGTAATGCTGCAGAGAGGTTCCCACCATGGCCCCAGGTGGTAGGTGGGGCTCCGCACTGGTGGCTTATTATTGTGTGAGAGAGATTCCCCTTCACTCCTCCATGAAGAATTCCTCTGTCTTCCTCCAAATCAGGCTGCAAAACACCCGCTCTGAAGAGGAAAGGAGAACTCTGGGCAATGGAAGGCAGCCTGGTCCTGACCACTCATAAAACCCCAGGGTGCTAATGCCAGTTGCCATGGCAGCAGGTGCTTGAGGGGCAGCCACACAAAGGCTGGGACTGCTCTGATGAGTGACATGAGCCAGTTCCCCAGGGTGGGCAGGCTTATGAGCCAGGCTCTGTGCCCAGGTTTGGTCACTGTCCCCAGATGGGGCCAGGACTCACCGTGTGACCACCTCCAACACACCACACCTGGACACACTGGAGGCGCATTCATTTACATATGACCCTGCCTCTGCCGCTTACAAGCTTTGTAACCTTGGGCAGGTTGTCAGGGCTCTCTGTGCCTCAGTTTCTTCCTCTGTGAAATGAGGATGATAATGGTAGAGCCTGCCTGATGGGATTGTTGGGGGCTGAATTGAGATCAGGGTGCTGAGCTCAGCCCCTGGCACAGAGTGAGACTTGTCATTATTAGAAGGGCAGAGCTGGAAGGGCCTTCGAAGGTTCCTCTGACCTGGGGGTCAGCCTGCCACCTGTTTTTGTTAATAACGGTCTATTGGAACACAGTCTCATCCCTTTGTTCATGGATGGTCTGTGAATGCTTTTAGACTACAGTGACTGAGTTGAATGGTTGTGGCAGAGACTCTATGACCTGCAAAGACTTGAATATTTACTATCTAGCCCTTTATTAAAAAGTTTTGCTGGCCCCTGGTCTCCTCCAACTCTGATTAGAGACAGTGAGGTCCAGAGAGAGGAAGGGTTTGCCTGAGCTCACCCAGCAGCTCTGGGTCCAGGCCAGGTCTCCCACACTGCTCCAGCTGCGATGCTGGGATCCTAAGAGCTGGTGGCAGGAAGCCTCATCTATTCTGTTCCCTGAGCAGACTCTCTATGGGGGGAGGAAATGCTAATCCTGAGTTCTTGCTCTGTTTTAGCTCCTTAGATGCCTTGTCCTGTTCAGTCCTCACAACACCCCTAGCTTACGCTGGCTCCCACGTTGGGTGGGCTCACTGGGGGCCATTCTTTCTCAGCGTCCATAATGAGGTAGGGGTGGCAATGCCCCCCTGCTTTGCAGGGAGGAAGCTGAGACTCAGAGAGGGAGCCTACTTGTCCACCCACAGTTGCACAGCTACAGAGTAGGGTGAGGATTGACATCGTCTTTTCAGACTATAAACCTTTTAGCCAAACAGAAACACGCTCCCCTACGGAGGTGAGGTGACTTTCACTTTCTTCCCCTTTGCTCCGGATGGGGGCAAGGAGCTTCAGTTCATTCAACAAGTATTGAGTACCTGCTGTGGTCACTGGAGTTACACCAGTGACCAGGACCCATCAGCTCCCTATCAGGGAGCTTCCTCTCCCTTCCTTAACTATACTTTATGACAGCTTCATTCGTAGAGTAAAATATATCAATCTTAAGTCTGCGTACCTGCATATTGACTAATATGTGTCATTGTGTAACCACCACCTGGGTCAAGATAGAGAATATTTCTAGACCAACCCCCTGAAAGTTCCCCTGGGCTCCTTAGCACTCACTTCCCCCATCCCCTGCCCCAAGCAACCACTGGCCTAATTTCCATCACTACAGATTAGTTTTGCCTGATCTGGAACTTCATATAAATGTTATGAAGCAGTGTGTACCCCTCTGTGTCTGACTTCTTTCACTTAGCATGTTTTTGAGATTCGTCCATGCTCTTATGTGGACCATCAATTCCTTTGGCGGCTATGTAGTTCTCCACAGTATGGATGTACTGTAGTTCATTTATCCATTCACCTGTTGATTAGACATTTAGGGTGGTTCTACTGTTTGGCTGTTATGAATAAAGCCTCTATGAACATTCCTGTACTTGACCTTTTGTGGACATCTGCATTTATTCCTCTTAACTATCGACCTCGGAGTGGAATTTAAAGGAAGGGACTCATGTGTTTGCTCAGAGTGGTTTTGCTCTCCTTTGAGGGTCACTGGGGAATGCAAGATGCCTCTGCTCTCCAGAGCTCAGTGATCCTCCAGGACAGACACCCTACAGCCTTCACATCTGATGGGGTTTCCTTCTCCCCAGATGAGCGATGTGCTCCTGTATACGTATCCCCAGAAGGATGGGAAATACCTGCTGAAGAACACATTGTCAGTGGCCAGCATGAAGGTAAATGCCTGGTGCTAGGCACCCTGGGGTGGGTGGGCAGAGGGAGACCTCAGGGGAGAAAAGACGGCATCCCCACTTATAGGAGCACATAGACCAGCAGGAAGAGGCAGCCCTAAGGAAACAGCATTACCCTGTGGGTTATAGCAGGATTGTGCTGTAAGTAGTCCAGGGAGAGTGGAGAGGGAAGGAGGACTTCCCAGAGGAAGGGAGCTGAATTCTTTAGGGTAGATAATATTTGGACAGATGGGAAAGGGGAAAGGGAAGGGCATCCTAATAAAAGGAAAACACATAAGGACACATTTGGAGGGAGGAAATAAGTGGGTGTTCAGTAAAGTTTTTTAAATTGTGGTAAAATATACATAACATAAATTTACCATTTTAACCATTTTTAAGTATACAGTTCAGCGACATCAAGTATATTCACACTGCTGTGCAACCATTACCACCATTCATTTCTAGAACTTTTGTATCATCCCCAGATGAAACTCTAGCCCCATTCGTAACTCCCCAGTCCTCCAGCCCCCAACCCCTGGCATCCACCATCCTATTTTTTGTCTCTAGGAATTTGCTCTAGATAATTCATGTAAATAGAATCATACAGTATTTGTCTTTTTGTGACTGGCCTATTTCAGTTAGCAGGATGTCCTCAAGGTGCATCCATGTTGCAACCTGTGTCAGAATGTCCTTCCTTTTTATGGCTTAATGATATCCCATTGTACATATAGACGACCACATTTTTTTTCCCATTTGTTCATGGATGGACACTTGAGTTCCTTTCACCTTTTGGCCACAATGAATAATGCTGCTATGAACAAAGTATACACATACCTGTACAGAGCCTGCTTCTAGTGCTTTAGGGTACATACCCACCTTCCTAGGGGTGGACGGGTGCCCACAGGCCAGAGTTGGAGCCACGGTGTCAGGACCAGAAGAGGCGGGTCTGTGCTTGCCCCTCCCTGCCCCCACCCTGACAGTCTGCTTTTGGTTTTCTAGGTCAGTCGTCCTGTGATGGAGAAAGTGCCCTATGCTCTAAAGATCGAGACTTCCCAGTCCTGCCTGACTCTATCTGCGAGGTATGGGGAGGTGGGTAGAGGGAGGGTCTGAGGGATAAAGGGGCAGGATTTTGCAGGTGTTAAAGGTTGGAATAATAACCTGGATGTGTCATTTCTATTTTGGTATTATTTTGGGTTAAGGGACTTTTTTTCTAGAGCCTGTCATTTAAATATAACAACAATATCTCATGTTTGTAAAAGTCTACGAATTATTGGGTCTTTACAGCAATGCAAGAGGTTAAGGCCAGTAAAAAATGCATCGTGCACTTTAGTTCATAAAGTGGTCTGCTTTTAGGCTTTAGTATCCGGAGAGTGAGAGAAAAACAGAATGAGTGAGCATTCATCATTTGCCTTTCCCTGGTTCGGGGGTGTGGCCTCTATCAGAAGTGTGTGTGTTTTCCCCAGGCCTTCGGCTACCCAGGGACCCCACCTCGCTTACTCTAGGCAGCAGAAGAGCTTCCCCCTCTCCCTATTTCCAGGCAAGGCCAGCTCAAGCTCCCTGGGCTCAGAAACCAGGGAGATGTGGCCCCTGCTGGGGCCACTGTGGGCGCTGTGGGGGCTGAGACAGGGTCCCCAAGACATGGGTGTCTGCGTCCCCTCTCAGCTGGTACATGACCTGGGGGTGGTGGTTCCTGGGCTGGCACGGGATGCACACACACTGACACAGTCTCACGCAGCTGCATTTACTCCTTCAGCATTTATTAGCCACTCCTCAGTGCCAGGTCCTGTGCTGAGGACACAAGAGTTAGACCTTGCTGTGCTCGGGGGAAGCCTACATTAAGGGCAGGAGACTTACGTATTGGTCATGATATAGAGCATAACTGCTGTAATAGTTAAAAGTGTTGATGACAAGAGTAACATACATTAGGCACCTGCTGGGTCTCAGGCACCTCCTCTGACCCCATCGCCACCCTTGGCTGTGGGGCTTGAGACTTCTCCCATGCATGGGGAGTTGAGGCCTAGAGAGGTGTCACATGGCCATGTGAGGAGGAACTGGGGCTCAAATGCAGGACTGTGTGACCCAGAGCTCTTACCCACTACTGTCTACTGCTGAGTGGGTAGAAGAAACCTTGAAAATTTCAAGGAGTGACGACCCATCTGGGGAAGTGAGGGAAGGCTTCATGGAGGAGATGATGCCTAGATGGGGTTCCATGGCATCTTTTCTCCTCGTCTCTAGGTAAAGTCAGGGGCCTGAGACGGCCCGGGGTATGGTCTCTATATGTCCAGCTGTGAGGTGGGGGTGGTGACAGGACACACTCAGCCCTTCAGATGAGGCTGCCCATCTCTGCTAGGCCGGGGCACTGCCCTTTGGCCAGTGGCCTCGAGGAGCCACTGTCACTGACAGGCCGGTCACGTTCCTGCACACCCAGATACTTCATGCTGAAGCTTCCAGGAGGCAGGCAGACGCATACATCTCCCTTCAGGGACATGGCATCTGGTTGTCCATTCCCCCCTACCCCCACCTCCCTCCCAGGCCAACCTGGTCCCTTCTCCGGGCTTTCCTGGGGCAGGCCACACTCTTACGCAGGGTGGGAGCGACACCTAGTGGGCCCTGGGAGAATTTTCACCCCGCTGTCTCTTGGGACCATGCTCACCAACTCAGAAAACCCTGCAGGGCACGGTGCAGAATGGGGATTTGGGAAACCAACTTGTTGGGTGAGGGACTGTCTGGGAAACTATGTGGGAAAATGAGGAGGAAGATGGGGCGGCGACAGGGATGTTGAACTTTTCCATCTTCGCATGCCTCTCCCCTCCCCGTGTACACAGCCGTCTGCACCCTGCCCCCCGCCCCGTCCCTCCTAAGGGTGGGACCCCTCTGCACCTCCCTAACGCCCTTTGCTTCTGCACAGTGATTTGCCATTAACAAACCCACACGTCGTTTCTTCCCCACAGCAGCTCTGGTAGCTAGAGGGATAGTGTTGACAGTCCCGTGTTGCAGGGAAAGAAGCAGGCCCAGAGGACAGCTTTCTTGCCCTGGCTGCCCTGCTAGTAGATGGAGGCGCCGAGGTACAATTCTAGGCTGGTCTGGGAGATGGCCGGTTCTTGGTGGGATCTCAGACACTGAGAGGCCCGGCCAGGGGAAAGGTGGGGGGATTTGATCTACACTGAGAAGCAGAGGCCGAGCCGCTGTGCATGCTGCATGCCTTGCTCACACCACGTTGCGCCCGCAGCTCCTGCGCAGAGCGGGACGAGTGGCACAGCTGTCTGAGCAGAGCCCTCCCTGAGGATTACAAGGCCCAGGCCCTGGCTGCCTTTCACCACAGTGTGGAGGTGAGTGGGGCCCTGCCCCCCCCGACACTGGGCTCACAGCCCTGGGTTCCCCTGGGCACCCACACACCCAGAAGGACTCTCAGCTCCTTCCATCGGGCTCCTCCTCCCACCCTTCCCACCAGCTCCCCCATGGCCAGGCCCAAGTACAGCACCTCCAGTTGGCTCTGTTTCTGACCCGAGATTAGCATCCTAGAGGATGCCGTGGGGTGGAAGGGGTTGTAGAATTAGAATCCATCCCACACCCCGTACAGGAAAGAGGGCACCCATCTAGCCATCTCCTGACCACACCGCTCATCCCATTCCATTGCTCCAGATACGGGAGAGGCTGGGGGTCAGCCTGGGGGAGAGGCCCCCCACTCTGGTGCCTGTCACACATGTTATGATGTGCATGAACTGTGGCTGCGACTTCTCCCTCACCCTGAGGCGTCACCACTGCCACGCCTGTGGCAAGGTGAGTCACCTCATCTGGGTGAGTGTGAACTTAGGGTCGTGTGGGGTGGGCACTCGGGCATCCAGCAGTTACTGTTGGGCTCAGGGCAGGGTGTTTTCCCATTAACCTTGTGAGGCCCCATTTTACCGATAGCCTCAAACCAGGGCTCCAAATCCCATTCCATTCCACCACTGCATTCCCAAAAGAAAATCATAGCACACGTGATTATTGTCTTTGGAGAAAAAGTATCATGTCCTGGTTAAGGGCTCATCAGAAAAACTGATAGACACTTAACACAGAAACTCTGTGTCTCCATGATGGGAAAGCAGGGGGACCTGGCACAGTCCTTTGCTCAGAGCAGTACCTGGAGAGGTGGGGGGTGAGTCAGCAGAGGGGAGAAGATGCTGGTCCTCTGCACATGCACATGCACATGCTGAGGGTGAGAACTGTTCCAACGTGTGTCCCCACCCGGGCTTGCAGATTGTGTGCCGGAACTGTTCAAGAAACAAGTACCCTCTGAAGTACCTCAAGGACCGGATGGCCAAGGTCTGTGACGGCTGCTATGGGGAGCTGAAGAAGAGGGGCGGGGATGTCCCAGGCCTGATGAGAGGTAACCTGGGCACCACTGTTCTTCCGGGTGGCTTCTCGCTGGCCCCTGGTTGTGCCTGAAACCACTTTCCTGTGGAGTTCAGAACAAAAGCAGCCTTGAAGGAGGAAATAAGGGTTTAAACTCATACCTGGGGCACCATTTCCCAAAATGTTGGCTCCATGGGAAATTGATAGGCACTCCCAAAAGAAGGGTCTGTGGGCAGCTAAGCTTGGGAAACGCTGGGTCAGTGCCTCTCTGTGAAGGGGTTAGCAGGCGTGGTGCTTCAGGTATACTTTGCCATGGTGACCCTCTTTTTGAAAATGTTCTATAGGTTTGTGTTCTATGGGACCTTTCCAGGATAAGGATTTTGAGACAGATAGCAGAGGAATTGTGGATCAGGGAAGGGCTGAGGGCTCCTTGAGTGATAAAGGATCCTGAGGAAGCCAAGCTGGCTCCTGAGAGACTGTGGTCAGGGTACAAGCTTTGCCCAAGCAGGGTTGGGCCAGAGGGACAGCAAGTGTATACTGGGCCCAAAACCAAAGATTTCTCCTCCGTGGGGCCACCTGAGGCCATCACAGAGGACAGCCCAGGTGAAGAAGGGATAGCCAGCACCCAGGAAAAGCCTTCCTTCTTGGCCCCCATGGCCTTCGTGTCATCAGAGGGAGTGTGCCTGTCTTTCTGGTCACACCTAATCCCCCTCATGAGGCTGATTCCCATCTCAGGAGGGACCCAGAGCTCTAATTTTATAGGAATTGGCATTCCAAAGCAAGAAGCATGCCTGTCCATGTGGACACTCACCTCCCATCCCCTGTGGCTTGTCTTGGTTACAGAGCGGCCCGTGAGCATGAGCTTCCCCCTGTCCTCCCCCCGCTTCTCAAGCAGCGCCTTCTCGTCTGTCTTCCATGGCATCAACCCCTCAACTTTCAAGAAACAGAAGAAGGTCCCTTCGGCCCTGACCGAGGTAAGGCAGGCGGACTGCCTATGTGGGAGGCAAGGGATTTAGAAGGTTCATGGTCCTCCTCGGTGGACAGGGTCTGACCTCCCCCAGCCTGGCTGAGTTCTTCAGGACAAAGAGAATTCCCAATGGGAGACACTCTTGTGGCAAGGACTGACTCACCACTAACAAGGGCCTGTCTCCTGGGCGTGACTGAGAACATGCCTGCTTGGTGGCAGAAGGCAGGACCCAAAATGTAGATGGTGCTAAAAGTCTTTCCCGTCCCTCTCTCCCCTCCAAGTCTTTCTTTTTTTCTCCTTACTTTCTTTCCTGTCCCATGGCCTAGACCTGGTCCCCATGGGTAGTGCACAGATCACTGGGGTTCTTCTGACTAAAACAGCCACAGTCCTGGCTTAGCCCTCCCTAGCAGGCCCTTGGAGCTGTGCTGTCCACTCAGCCTGCGGGTCCCAAAGGGCCTCGGGTGCTGAGCCTCCTGGAGGATGTGGGACTGTCTGCAGGAAGCCTCAGAATTGCTTAAGTTCAAGTCTATCCTATAAGGAGGGCCAGATTATATGTCTATATTCTGGTCACAACCACAAACAAATGTGTGCCCATGAATATACATGCTGTCAAAAGAAGGTCAGCTGTTTCCAAGTTTTTGCATTAATATTCATTATTGAGTAGCAGGTGGCAAGGGTTTCAAAAAGTGTTAGGGTATGGAAATTTTAAAGGGGTACAGTTCTCATTTACTTAATTCCTTTGCATATTAAAAATCTTGGGAATAACACATACATGGTAAAAAAAAAATTTTTTTTCAAAACAGCACAAAAGAATACCTGATGAAACATGAGTTTCTCTCCCTCCCCGAACTCCTCCAGTCCCATCTACTCCCAGAGGTAACCACCATCAAGTTTCTTAGGGATCCTTCCAGAAATTTTAATGTATATACATAATAAAGATGTACATTCATTGATCCTTTTTTTTTTTACTGAAAAGGTAAATTGTACTGAATCTTCTATATACTCTTCACACTTAATTTCTCTTAGCTATCATTCCACATTTGCTCACACATACAAATCTCATACTTTTTACGTTGTATGGTTATAGCATCATTTATTTAATCTAGTCCCTTTCCACCAATTGAGAAAAGATCACCTTTTCACTCCTGCTGGGCAGAACCTGAGTGTTCCATGGGCACAGTTTGAGAACCGCTGCTCTTAGCCTTCTGGAGTCCAGCTGTCTCTGATGCTGGTGTCCTAGCTAGCCCTTTGGTAATTTTTGCTCAAAGTGACAACCTTTTTATTACCTAGCAAAGACTGCACTTAGTGGGATTTGCAGCAGCCCCAGGAGAAATGTGCCCCACCTGTCACCCGCTGCCCTGTCCCTTTTCTGCAGGAGCTCCACCTTAACAGTAAGCCCTGCTCCCCATGAGAAAGTCTGCGGAAATGCTGTCTCCCCGATCACCCGCCAGAAAGGGAGGTCAGAATCGGTTTCTCCCCACATACTCTGTCCATTCTGCCTTTTTCACTCTGCGAGCTGCCCTGGCAGGGCAAGTGCAGGGAGACAAAGCCTGTGTCTGGTGCTAGGAGTCCTGGAACCTGTGGCGGACACAGGCTCCTTTCCTGGTACTTCTTAAAACAGTCCAGGCTGGGTGTCTGGGGGGCTCAGTCGTTAAGCGTCTGCCTTCGGCTCAGATCATGATCTTGGGGTCTTGGGATCGAGCCCCACGTCAGGCTCCCTGCTCAGTGGGAAGCATGCCTCTGCCCTTTCCCCGCTCATTCTCTCTCTCCCTCTCTCTCTCTCTCTCATGAATAAATAAAATCTTAAAAAAAAAAAAAAAAATCCCAGGCTGGTGATGGCCTCCTTTCCCTGCATTGAAGTTCATTGACCTTTGGAGTATTTGCCAAGAGATCCAAGTTCTTTACCCTCTCTTCAACTAAGTAGAGATTTGACCTTCGGTAGATAACCTCCATTCCTCCAGGCCTCAGTTTCCCCATCTGTAAAATGGGAAAGTCAGATGAAATTATTTCCAAACCTGGCCTTCTTGCTCCAATAGTAAGATTAATATTTATGAGCAGTTCTGTGGGTCAGGCACTATACCTGTCAGGTACCTCTCTTATGTCATTAATTCCAGTCTTGCTAGTAGGGAATCTAAGACTTAGAAGAAGTAAATTGCCCACATTGCCCATCCAATAACTGGGAGAACCTGGGCTGGAACCCCAGACTGGTATTTCTCCAAACCTGCATTGTGTTCTGAACCCCCACATAAAGACTGTGCAACAGACAAATACTACTTCTACTAATAACAACAGGAATTAACGCCCCCCATTAGGAAGAAGATTATAAAACCTTTTAAGTAAACATTACAAAGAGGATCCGTCCTTAAATATAAGAGAGAAGCTTAAGAATCAGGGGCACCTAGGTAGCTCAGTCAGCTGAGCTTCTGACTCTTGGTTTTGGCTCAGGTCACAATCTCAGGATTGTGAGATTGAGCCCCATGTTGAGCCCACATCAGGCTCTACATTCAGCACGGAGTCTGCTTAAGATTCTGTCTCTACCTCTGCCCCCCCCATTTGTGTTCACGTGCTCTCTCTAAAATAAATAAAATCTTTAAAAATTTTAAAAAGTGTAAGAATCAAATTTATTTTTTTGAGCATGTATGTATGGATTTTTTTATTTTTTCAAGTTTTTATTTAAATTCCAGTTAGTTAACATACAGTGTTTATTAGTTTCAGGTGCACAATATAGTGATTCAACACTTCATACATCACCCGGTGCTTGTCACAAGTGGCCTCCTTAATCCCCATCATCTATTTCACCCATCCCCTACCCCTCTCCCCTCTGGCAACCATCAGTGTGTTCTCTATAGTTAGGAGTATGTTTCTTGTTTTTTTCTCTCATGTTTTTCCCCCTTTGCTCATTTGTTTTGTTTCTTAAATTCCACATATGAGTGAAATCATATGGTATTTGTCTTTGTTTGACCGACTTATTTCACTTAGCATAATACTGTCTAGCTCCATCCATGTCATTGCAAATGACAAGATTTCATTCTTTTTTGTGGCTGAGTAACATTCCACTGTATATATTTACTACATCTTCTTTATCCATTCATCAATTGGTGGACACCTGGGCTGCTTCCATATCTTGGCTATTGTCGGTAATGCTGCTATAAACATTGGGGTACATGTATCCCTGTGAATTAGTGTTTTAGTATTCTTTGGGTAAATACCCAGTAGTGTGATTGCTAGATCTAGATAGTAGGTTAGTTATTTTAACTTTCTGGGGAACCTCCATACTGTTTTCCACAGTGGCTGGCTGCACCAGTCTGCATTCCCACCAACAGTGCAAGAGGGTTCCCCTTTCTCCACATCCTTGCCAACACCTGTTGTTTCTTGTGTTGTTGATTTTAGCCATTCTGACGGGTGTCAAGTGGTTTTTCATTGTAGTGTTGATTTGCCCTTCCCCGATGATAGTGAGGATAAACATCTTTTCATGTATCTGTTGGCCATCTGGATGTCTTCTTTGGAGAAATATCTGTTCAAGTTTTCTGCCCACTTTTTAATTGGATTATTTGTTTTTTGGGTGTTGAGTTTTATAAAGGCTTTATGTATTTTGTATACTAACCCTTCATCAGATATGCCATTGGCAGTTATCTTCTCCCATTCCAAAGGTTGCCTTTTAGTTTTGTTGATTGTTTCCTTTGCTGTGCAGAAGCTTTTTATTTTGATGAAGTCCCAATAGTTTATTTTTGCATTTGTTTCCCTTGCCTCAGGAGACATATTTAGAAGGAAGTTGCTGTAGCTGATGTCAAAGAAGTTACTGTCTGTGTTCTCCTCTGGGATTTTTATGGTTTCATGTCTCACATTTAGATCTTTAACCCATTTTTGAATTTATTTTTGTGTATGATGTAAGAAAGTGGTCTAGTTTCATTCTTCTGCATGTTGCTTTCCAGTTCTCTCAACACCATTTGTTGAAGAGACAGTCTTCCTATTGGATATTCTTTCCTGCTTTGTCCAAGATTAATTGACTATTAATTAATTAATAGTTGTGGGTCCATTTCTGCATTTTCTATTCTGTTCCATCGATCTCTGTATCTGTTTTTGTGCCAGTACCGTACTGTTTTAATGACTACAGCTTTGTAATATAACTTGAAGTCCGGAATTGTGATGCCTCCAGCTTTGCTTTTCCTTTTCACGGTTGCTTTGGCTAAATAGGGACTTTTGTGGTTCCACACAAATTTTAGGATTGTTTTGTTCCAGCTCTGTGAAATATGCTAGTGGTATTTTGATAGGGACTGCATTAAATATGTAGGTTGCTTTAGGTAGTATAGATATTTTAACAATATTTGTTTTTCTAGTCCATGAGCATGGAATGTTTTTCCATCTCTTCGTGCCATCTTCAGTTTCTTTCATCAGGGTTTTATAGGTCTTCATAGTATTGGTCTTTCACCTCTGTGGTTAGGTTTATTCCTAGGTATCTTACTGTTTTTGGTGCAGTTGTAAATGGGATTGATTCCTTAATTTCTCCTGCTGCTTCATTATTGGTGTATAGAAATGCAACAGATTTCTGTACATTGATTTTGTATCCTGTGACTTTACTGAATTTGTTTATCAGTTCTAACAGTTCTTGGGGGTCTTTTGGGTTTTCTATATATAGTATCATGTCATCTGCAAATAGTGAAAATTTTACTTCTTCCTTCCCAATTTGGATGCCTTTTTTTTTAGGCAATCTCTACACCCAACATGGGGCTCAAACTCATGACCCCAAGATCAAAAGTCACATGCTCCACCGACTAAGCCAGCCAGGCACCCCGATTTGGATGCTTCTTCTTTCTTTTTGTTGTCTGATTGCTGTTGCTAGGACTTCCGGTACTATGTTGAATAAAAGTGGTGAGAGTGGACACCCCTGTCTTATTCCTGACTGTAGAGGAAAAGCTCTCAGTTTTTCTGCATTTAGGATAATATTAGCTGTGCATTTTTCATATATGGCCTTTATTATGTTGAGGTGTGTTCCCTCTAAACCTACTTTATTGACTGTTTTTATCATGAATAGATGTTGTGCTTTGTCAAATGCTCTTTCTACATCTATTGAAATGACCACATGGTTCTTACCCTTTCTTTTGTTAATGTGATGTACCACGTTGATTGATTTGCAAATATCGAACCATCCTTGCATCCCAAGAATAAATCCCGTTTGATAGTGGTGAACGATTTTTTTAATGTATGTTGGATTCAGCTTGCTAGTATTCTGTTGAGGGTTTTTGCATCTATGTTCATCAGAGATATTTAGCCTGTGGTTCTCTTTTTTAGTGGTTTCTCTACCTGGTTTTTGTATCAGAGTAATGCTGGCCTCATAGGTTTCCTTCCTTTTCTATTTTTTTTTTTTGAATAGTTTGAGAAGAATACGTATTAAGTCTTGTAAGAATCAATTTTAGAAGGAAGAACCTTTCCCCCAGATATTTGCAGTTTCATATTATGGGGCCTTGTGGGTTGGGGAGAGGGAGCCAAGAATCTGAAACACCACTCAGGGCAGCACTCCTGAAGGCAGTTTTTGACTCTTGTGTCGTCTCCTGCGTCCACTCAGTAAGTCCTGTCTTAATCCCTGGTACCGTTTTGCTGCTTTTGAGGTGCTGGATGTATCCTGAGACCTCATCCAAGTCTCAGATTTCAAAGCAGTATAAACGCTCTGCCAGCTGGTTTGCAATGTCATTTTAGCTCCGTCTGAACCATGCCTACGCCCTGGTGCCCTGACCATTCTGCTTCTCTTCTGTCAGGTGGCCGCCTCGGGAGAGGGCTCCGCCATCAGTGGCTATCTGAGCCGGTGCAAGAAAGGCAAGAGGCACTGGAAGAAGCTCTGGTTTGTCATCAAAGGCAAAGTGCTCTACACCTACATGGCCAGTGAGGTAGTGGTGGTTCATGCTCTCTCTCCTCTCACCTGTGAAGGCCCTCAGGTTAAGCTCATGCCTCAGAATGTCCATCTGAGTATGCACAACACCCCATCGCCTGCAGGGCAGTGTGAGGCTGGATGCGGGTTCCAGTTCCCATATCACTCCGGTCTGTGTTGGGCAGTACCATGCGCTGAGTGTTGCTACAAATACACAACCATGTGTCGGTTCCAAGTTGAAAGAATTTACCTTTCTCTGTGGAGATAAGGTGGGACAGCTTGCAGACCTGTGCACCCAAGTGTTTGAAGGTCACAGGCCCAGCATCTAGCACAAGCCAGGCACTCCATAAGAGCAGGCTGCTTTCTGCTCTCCACCTCAGTGTCTGGGACAGAATTCAACACAGCTTGGAGGAAGCTACCACACTTTTTTACTCTGTGCATTTCTTTTCTCAGGGAACTACATTGTTTTCGTGGTAATGTTTCTACTAAATAAAACTTAAGTTGATACTTTTTACAGAGCATCTTACCTTTACATATAAAATGTAGGAGGGCCTTGGAAGTCGAGCCTGCTTCCAGACTAGCCAGGTGTGGACTATGGTTATACAGCAGGGGGCTGTCTGGTCCTGACCCAGGCTGAAGCTGGAGGATAGTTTGAAAGATTTCCACGTCTAGCCCCCACCATCCGGTGGCTTCCACGGGCTAAACCCACTTTGAAAACGGGACTTAAGAGCCCAGCTGCTGAGCGTGTATGTTTTATCCCAGGAGGATATTCACATCAGCACAGGACTGGCGCTTCTACCCCGCCCCCAGATGCTGGCAAAGGCGCAAGACACTTTCTTTTGGGGGCATAAACGTTCTCTTACAAAAGACCTGTAGCTGTGATGGTTGCAGCCTGCCCCTCCCTCAGGGAATCCCAGAGGCCAGCAGGGACACAGAAAGACAGAGGGGGACCCACAGTGGGCCTGAGTGACTCCAGTGCCCTCACTGACATGCCCACAGGGAAGCTGAGGAGAATTTTGATCTTTCCAGAACAAACTGAAATGTGATGTAATGCCCACCTGCAGCCCAGGGCAGCATCTTCCAAAGTAGGTATTACACAGGATGCTCACAGGGGTTCTCTAAACAATGGATTCGGAGGGGACCCTGAGTAGGCAGTTAGTAGGAGTACTTCTTAGAATCTGTAATGTACCCAGATGTGTTGTGGATCTCTGAGATGAGGGGATTTCCCAAGCTGGCCTGACCACAGGCCCTTCCTCATGGAGTGTCTCATGGGACTCTCCCATCCCATGGACCACTCTTTGGGAAGAAATTCTTAGACAGGTGAATGAAGGCTAGTGATAATTAAATAACCACCAAAGAGGTGAATCCTGTCCATTCTCTAGGTCCTGAGCAACGGTTGTCATTGGAAGTGACACCCTAAGTTAATTTTAAAAGGTGGATTTTAAGTATGCTTCCAGAGTAGTTTTTTCCATAAAGAACTAGTACAATTTCTTAATAAGACCATGCCAGTGATAGGGACTAAGCTCTCAAATTCCATCAAAGAAAAAAGGTTTGATAAAATGGATAGCCAGTTTTCGCTGTGTGTACTATCATGAACGCCTGTTGTTTACCTGTGGTATCCCCACCTCATTCCTCTCCCCAGAGGCAGCACACTGTTCTGAATTTTTTCTACCATAGATTAGTTTTACCTCTTTTAGAATCTTCATATAAATCAAATCACATATAAATGTGACCTCTCCCACTCAGCATGAGGTGTTTGAGAGTCATCCATGTTTTTGAATACAGCAGTAGGTCATGACATTTTATGGCTGAGTAGTATTCCATGTTGTGAACATACCACTATGTGTTTATTCCATTCATCAGTTGAAGGACATTTGGGTTGTTTCTGGTTTTTGGTAATTATGAATAAAGCCACTTTAAACTTTTGTATAGAGGTTTTTATATGAAAATAGGTTTTTATTTCACTTGGGTAGACACCTAGGATTGGAATTTCTAGATCATAGGAAGGTATATGTTTGATTTATCAGAAATTACAGCCGTTTCGCAAAGTGGTCTACCATTTTATACTCCCCTCAACAATGTATGTAAGTGTGAGAGTTCTGGTTGCTCCACATCTTAGTTAACATTTGGTATTGTCAGTCATTAATTTACTAGTAGCTCAGTGTGGTTTTAATTTAGATTTCCCTAGTAACTAATGATGTTTTTGATGTGCTTATTGGCTATTTCTGTATTTCCCTTTGAGAAGTGTCTGTTCAGATCTCTTGCATATTTTTTTAAGTTGTCTTACTACTGGGTTACAGGAATTCTTTACATATCTTGGACACCAGTCTTTTGTCAGATAAATGTTTTGTGAATATTCTCTCCGTCTGTGGTTTGCCTGTGCATTTTCTTAATGAATGAATTTGTTCTGTTCTTTTGGTGAACAGAAGTTTTTAACTTAAATGAAACCTAATTTATTAGTGTTTTCCTTTATGGCTGTTGCTTTTCATATCACAAGAAACTTTTAGTCTACTGCAAGTCACAAAGTTGTTCCCCCTGTATTTGCTTCTGAAAACTTGAATGCTTTAGTTTTTACATTCAGGTCTATCTGAAATTAATTTTGAGTATGGTATGAGACCGGGGTTGGGGTTCATTTTTTTCCATATGGATATCCAGTTATTCCACCACCACTTGTTAAAAAAAAAACTTTCCTTTCCCTAATAGGATTATTTTGGCGCCTTCGTTAAATATCAAATGACTAGGGGCACCTGGGTGGCTCAGTCGTTAAGCGTCTGCCTTCGGCTCAGGTCATGATCCCAGGGTCCTGGGATCGAGCCCCGCATTGGGCTCCCTGCACAGCAGGAAACCTGCTTCTCTCTCTCCCACTCCCCCTGCTTGTGTTCCCTCTCGCTGTCTCGCTCTCCGTTAAAAAATAAATAAAATCTTTTAAAAAATAAAAAAAAAAATGACTAAATACATTTGGGGCTATCTCTGAGTTTTCTATTCCATTTCACTGATATATTTACCAATTCTTATGCCAATACTTTACTGTCTTAATCACTAGAACTCTATAGTAAGTCTTGAAGTCAGACTGTATTAAGCCTCCAACATTGTTCTTTTATTTGTTTGTTTGTTTGAGAGTGTGCATGTGCGTACAGGAGTAGGGGGAGGGACAGAGGGAGAGAATCTCAAGCCGACTTCCCACTGACACAGGGCTCAGTCCCATGACCCATGAGATCATGACCTGAGCCAAAGTCACCAGTCCGATGCCAGACTGAATATCCCAGGTGCCCCTTCAACATTGTTCTTTTTAAAGATTGTTTGGGGTATTCTAGGTCTTTTGTGTTTCCATGTAAACTTGTCAATTTCTACCCAAAAGCCTGAGATGATGACGGAGATTGTTGAATCAATTTGGGAAGAGTTGGCATCTTAACAATATTGAATCTTCAAATCTATGAATATGGCATAAATCTTCGTTTATTTAGTTCTTTAGTTTTTCTTTTAATGTTTTGTAGTTTTAGTATAGAGGTCTCATACTTCTGTTCTTGCATTTCTGTTAACCTTATTCCTATTTTATTTTTTGCATGCTATTTTTTTTAAAGATTTTATTTATTTTTTGACAGAGAGAGACAGCAAGAGAGGGAACACAAGCAGGGGGAGTGGGAGAAGGAGAAGCAGGCTTCCCGCTGAGCAGGGAGCCCGATGCGGGGCTCAATCCCAGGACCCTGGGATCATGACCTGAGCCGAAGGCAGATGCTTAACGACTGAGCCACCCAGGCGCCCCTGCATGCTATTTTGAATGGAGTTTATTTTCTAGTTGTTTGCTGTAAACAGATATAAAAAAATTGATTATCCCGTTAACTTGCTAAATTGATTATTGGTTCTAGTAATTGTTTTACAATCAAACAAGTCCTTTGCAAGCACCGACAGTTTAACTTCTCCTTTTTCTGAACTTTGTTTTTCTTCTTGCCTTAATGCAATGACTAGGACCGCCAGTGCAATTTTCAGTTTAATTGGTAGGAGCGAGCACCCTCTTGCGTTCCCAATCTTACAGTATATACAAAATGTCCGTATACAGGTCTGAATACAAAGCATTCAGTATTTTACTATTAAGTAGGATGTTAGCTCTAGGTATTTTATAGATGCCCTCAGATTAAGGAAGTTCCCTTCTAGTTTGCTGAGGGTTTTTTTTTTTAAATCATGAATCGATATTGAGTTTAGATGCTCTTCCTGATCCAGCAATCTCTGAAAGTTGATTCATTTTATACACAACCTCAACTCCTCCTCTTTCTCCTCCCACAGCCTTCTTAGCTAATTATATCTTAACTAATTGCTTAACTAATTTTATCTTTGTCTATGTGTGGTTTCATAAAGTTGTATTTTATGAGCATGTATTTTCACATAAATATGTATGTGTAAATATATCTTTATATACAAATATCTCTTTTTCCACTGAGTACTGTGATTTTAAGATCCACTTATGATCTCTGTGTAGGTCTCATCACAGTATTAGCAACTTTATAGTACAGACACCCTGCGTGCTCCATACTGAGACGTCATGGATAGGCTGTGGGAGAATGAGTATTGGGGATATTATCTGGAATAATTCTGGAAAACAGAGTCTCTGACTAATCAAGTCAGCAGAAAGAATGCAGTGTTAGAAGGTGGTCATGAGTCCAAATTCTGGCTCTGCCCCTGACTAACCTGTGTGATCTTAGGGAGTTATTTACCTTCTCTGAGCTTCAGTGTCTTTTTAGAACAGAAGTGACACTTTCTGTGATGTTGTGAAGATTCAACAAGATAATATAAAGATGAAAATGCCTGGACCCTAATAAGCTGTGACAGAATGTTAAGTTTCTTTCTCTCCTCATGACTGGTCCTGGTGGGAAGAGGGGGTGAAGAGTATGTGTGTGGTTATTGCACTGTTGCCAACCCATGCCTCACACAGAAGGGGTCATCACGCATCTGAAATCAGAGGTAACAGTAAATGCTGAGCAGTTGACTGTGTGTAGTGCCGTGTGTAATATCATTTTCTCTTTTGCCCTCTGCAGGACACAGTGGCCATGGAGAGTATGCCTCTGCTCGGTTTCACCATTGCCCCAGAGAAGGAAGAGGGCAGCAGTGAAGTAGGACCTATTTTTCACCTCTACCACAAGAAGACCCTATTTTATAGCTTCAAAGCAGAGGATACCAATTCAGCTCAAAGGTACCCAAATAACTAGGCCTGTATCTCCTTGCCTCTCCCTCTACAAGTTGCTACCCAGGGCTCTGGCTTCTCTCTGCTCCAGCCTCCTGTGCCATCTAACCCTTTTGGGCCACAGCAGAACAACAGAACAGAACCTGTTCCTGGTTATAAGACTTTTTTAAAGATTATCATGATTCGTTCATACAGGCATGCTTTGATTCAACAGACCTTTTGCTGAACGCTAGGGAAACAAATATGAATATGACGTGGTCCCCAATGTCAGGCTAATAGTCACCTAGTCCACCTGGTCACTTCTAGGTTCTCTGACCAGAGTCTCAGAGCTGTGACACCTAAGTGTGCCCTCTCCTCTGTTTTACAGGTGGATCGAGGCCATGGAAGATGCAAGTGTGTTATAGCAGTTATCAAGCATGTGGACTCAGAATAAAGTCTTAGGTTGAATGTGGACCCTTCCAGAAGCCAATCTGTGTCTCTACTCCTCGGGACTCATATCTGGATTTAGCACGGGGCCTCATCTTTTTTGCCATAACCCCCTCTCTCACCGTCACAAGTGGAACCCCTAAGGAATATTTATGAACCACTCCTTTTCTATTCTTGTGTCTTCCACCTGCCCGACCCCGCCCCACCCCAGCATAAATGATTTCCTTACCCGGTAGTGAGGTCGCATTTAGTAACGTGAAGACATGGAAACAATAGGAAAAAAGTACATTTTAGAAATGCAGGCTTCTTAGTGGAAACAAGCTTTTACAGTTTTTACTAGTGGTAAACATTATCACCTTCCATAGCATTGATGTCAGTGCCTCAGGCGAAACGAGAAACAACTGGTAAATAACAGCTACCCTCATCGAAAGCACTTTATTGTTTTACTGAGCTACAACCTCCAGTTTTATGTTTTCCAAGTGATTTACTTAAGTAAGGAGCAGATGGAGTCCCGTGAACTAATTTGCCACCAGTTCTCAACAAGAGTGTACGTACAATTGATTTGTGCAAACACGGATGGACCTTGCCAAGGGGGCAGGTGAGCGGCACTCAGAGGGGAGGGTCCTCCTTACTGCAGAGGCCGCACTGCACGGCAGAAGAAGGCAAGGATTTTCTCCTCCACTTGATCATGAGACCTGTATACGGACATGACTTAATGAAGGAAGGACCCCCTCCTTCCGGGGTAGTCCTCACACTACCCCAGTGCCGGATGCTCGGCTGCCAGCAGGCCCAGCCCCCACCCTGGAGGTCACCACAAACCCTCTGAAGAGATAGGGTCTGCTGTAATTTATTGTGTGCCTTCCTGTGTGTACCCAACATGAGCTGACAGTGTTATGTGTAAGAGAACATGTGCTTGTTTTCAACATGGTTACCCTTCGGCTGTATTACCAAAGCCTTGAAAGATATGAAGACAGAAAAGATATAATCAGAAAGTGAATTGGTGGTCTTGGCCAGTGGCTCTGGACACAGTGAGGGAGCACAGAAGTAGTGGCTTGAAGAAACTCTCTGGGCACCTGGGGCTCAGCCACCTCCCACTGATGACTGCTGCTCATCATGCTGGACAAATTTCTACATAGAGCAAGAATGGGGGTGGGGCAGGCGGGATTCCTTGTTACTCTCATTGAAATAGAAAACAATCAATCATATCATTTCCTGATGTCCTGTCCCCTAAGCAAAACGGCATTTGCTGACAAACCTTTTGTAAAAAGCACCATCTCAAGGAGTTATTTACATTAAATATTTTCAGGGGAATTTTTTTTTCTAGTTTGCAATTTCTCCTTTAAAATGTTTGCATTAAACATTTAATTAATGATTCAAACTAAGTGATTAGACAGATCTTTTCATTAATTTTTGAGGGATCAATTCCAATGCAACCACTTTCATCATCAGACCTACTTTAAGCGGGCCTTCTAGAGCCTCTGAGCCTTTAAAAAGCACAGCAAGACTTCGGCACCAGGTAGTGGGAACTTCCCAATCTGCTGTGTGCCACTGGCCACTGTCAGTTTCTGGGCTCCAGGTAGAATTACGCATCTGGAAGTCATCTGAAGGTCTCTTGTACCATATAACATCCTATTTCTGATGCTGAAAAGAAGAGGTAATGGGGCTTTGATTTCTCAGTCAGTAGTCACCCTAATAAAAACCACCTGGGTTATAGGTAAAACCTAATGGATCGGTTTTATAAAAGGAAGTGGCAGGGGCCACTAAGATCCTCCACAGTTCCTGTGTGACTGGGCAAGGACCCATCTGGTTTACCTGTAACTCGTTCTTACCTGTCCTTCCCGTGGTTCTTCGATTTCAGCCGATTTCTACTAGTCAATTTCGCTTGCTGTTCCTTCCCTGACCTTCTCTTTGTCCAGCCCATTTTACAGGTTCCTGGGGCCTGGTTGGAATAACTCAGGTGAAGCCATCCACCTGGCCTAAGGGGCTAGAGATGCACCCAGGGGCTAGAGAAATAACAGCTTTGATGCCACGACCACACTCCCCAAGCTTCCCATGGTATCTGCTTTGCCTACCTGCTCCCTGGGCTTCAGCAAAGGCTGTGTTTCTAGGGAGGAAGCAGTTCTGTGCCAAGCTGTAGCCCAGAAATGAGAGCACACAGCCCCTGGGTAAAGTCACTCACGTCAGTAGCTCCATGCCTTGGTGTTTTCACCAGTCACATGGAGACCGTTCCAACTTCCCAAAGAGTTCAGGGGTAAAGCACAAACCAAACATTCAAGAAAGTAGCCTGGAAACCATAACCCCATGGGGAAGGGCATGAACTGTACAAAGTGAACATGAGTAACGGGCCCTGCTCTGTGACAATACAAGATGAAGACAATATGCAAAGACCTTCCTTCTTATCCATGGAAATGGCAAGAAAGAAGCCAGGCCTGAAGAGAGCCTGGCAGGGGCAGGCTGAGCTCCTTTGTTCATCAGGTCTTTTCCCCGTCTATTTGTTTTGAATGACCTCTCCTTGAGCTCTTCACACATGGGTCAAGAAAACACAGCCCTTTGCAGGGTTGGCCTCTGCCTACTTCTCAGAATCAGTAAAATTTTATGAAACTGGAGTTGCACTGAAAGCACTTACTTTCAAGTGGCTTCACACCTTCCCTGCAATGTATGTCCAGCCTGGATTGGCCTTAGTAACTAGGAAGAGTTCTGTTCATGATTACTAATACAAAGCACACTAGAAACCAAGTGTCCAGGGACATTGGTCGAGCTCCTGGCTCCTGGTAATAATTCTTGCACGTATCAGAAGTAGGCTTTGAGTTGCTGTGGTCAGGCCGACAGACAAGCTGACCACGTATTCTCCGTTGGATGCAGCCTGGTCCCATGTGTGGGTGTGGACTGAGGGCGGATCATTGGGTGTATGCCATGCAGGCCAGTGCCCAGGACACCAACAGCCCTGCTACCGCCACTGAAGGGTAATGAGGTCAGAGTCTTTTCTTCATCCAGCCCAGCCTTTTGTTTGACTGACAGTATAAATGTCATCACTGAACACTGAACCTCTAAATGGGGACTGAGGTCCCCTGGGCTAGGAGTGGTAGGACTAAGCTGGAGCCTGAGTTCTGCTACAAGGCAGAGACAACAATGTGCTAGAATATTCTGTTAATTGATTCAACCATGTTTTGTGGCTTCTATAATCGTGGGAGTTTTGCGCTTCCACACGAGTGGTCAGTTGAAAGGACAGAGGTGTCCACGCTAAGGAGTCTGTTTTCAATAAGTAAGAGGAAACGAACATCAAATTGGTTTAAACAGCTTTACAAGAGGAGGTCCAAAAGCAAGGTGGTTTCAAACTTTGACAGTATCCCTAAGAACCAAGCTCTTTGGGTTTCTCTATCTGTTGTCCAGTGTCAGCTTGATTCCAGGGCTGGTTCTCCAGAGACTGAGGAGTGACTGCCACTGATGGCGGGGCTACAGGTTTCCCTGTCCACAGGCACCAGGGAGGGGGAGCTCATCTTCCTGTTCTAGCTTTTTCTTAGAAGCACCCAGCAGGCCTCCCATGATGCTCCAGGTCCACACTTCCTTATTGCCTGCCCTTTCTTAAGCTACTTATAGGGATAGACTGGTCAGCTGGGGGCTGAGGGGAGGACGGCTGCTGAGGACCCACCCACAAAGTCCACTCTTTGGACCACATCTTTTGGAAAGACTCTGGTTTGGATTAGCATAATGCAAGGGCTATGCAGGGCCATGGAGGCAGTTCCCTAGGTGGCCTCAGTTTCTTCCTCGCACAGGTAATCTGGTGGTGCTGTACAGGAAAGGGACAGAACAGAATGACAACAGGCCTCACTGTCTTAGTCGTTCACCGGTACTGTTACAATAGAGCAAGTATAGAAAGGCATCATGTCCACAGGAGTGAAAGAGGTTTGTACAAAATAAAATCCGTGTTAAGAAAGCAGAGAAACAGAAGACACTGTGAACAAAAATTTTAGCTTTGTTTTTTTAAAGTCTAGGAGTGGGTTATGAAATCAATGCAGTGGATCACCACCCGCTCCCTCCCCCAGCCCCACCCTACGTGCTCACTGAAGACAGCAGAGCGCGACACAGCCGGGCGCATCCGTCCTCCTTGAGGGCCGTTTTAGGACATTTTGTTTTCAGCTGCGTGTGTGTACACATGATATTACTGATTGTTGATGTAAAAATGTAGCTCTACTTCTAGATTATGGTCAAAACTCACTTTCAAAAAATTTTTAAGCCACTAGTTTAAGACTGTCAGGTAAGAAAAAAATGAGCACAGAGTTGCAGTTAGACATATAATGAGCCAAAACAAAAGACCTTACTAAAGACACATATTCAAATGTAAGGACGTTGCAGTTTTATTTTTTGAATGCTTCAAAAATATAATGAGGGGAAAGGTATAAAATTCATGGTAAAGCTACAGAAATAGTTTTGATCAGGAAATGGATATGGTAGCAATTAAGGTATCATACCTATAAGCAAAGTAACATATACCTGTTATTGGTGTATGTAAATTATAAATTATAACAATTATCCCAGAGCTGAGAGTTGCAAATATGACAGAACTTTAGAATAACAACATGTTTTATGCCAGGGGCTCCCAAAGCTTATTTTCAACAGTGACCACTACTCTGGTTTATTACATAAAGATTTCCCCACTCAAGTGAGAACTGCCTAAATGACCTTAAGTTCTCTTCAAAATAAGGATCTCACCTTCAAAAGTGGAATTCACATTCTCTCCAAAGGTAGACTCAGAGGGAAAGGAAGGAAGGATTTGGCTCTATGTCTAATGTGTTCACAGGCAAGCTGTATCCAAAAATCTGTCTGTGGTCAAGGAGAGCCATAAGCCTATATGTTCCTAAGAACTCCTTTTATTTTTTTTTTTTTAAGATTTTATTTATTTATTTGAGAGAGAGAATGAGATAGAGAGAGAGCATGAGAGGGGAGAGGGTCAGAGGGAGAAGCAGACTCCCTGCCAAGCAGGGAGCCCGATGCGGGACTCAATCCCGGGACTCCAGGATCATGACCTGAGCTAAAGGCAGTCGCTTAACCAACTGAGCCACCCAGGTGCCCTAAGAACTCCTTTTAAAGTAACAGATACAAGAAGCAGATGAAGATTTAAAAGAATTGCCATCTCCCATAAATCTGTGGCCCTTCAAATCCAGTGGCCTATACTTAACAACCCTTAACAATACCACATTAGGATTCATGAATGTGTAATGGAACTGCCCCGCTGTGAGCGACATACATGAGAAAATAAATTACCTCTTGATCGCTACAGTAATTGGCTATACCCCAAAGCATGAGGCTTGATTATTCCAACATGTATAATTATGGAAGTTATTATAGGCATAAAATTAGACAGCTCTTTTTAAAATACAGCTATAATACCACTCAGTGTGACCCTGAATCTTATTTTATGGGGCAGGGCAGAAAATGACCATTAGTTTTCACTGTAGCAATTTGACTAATTTCTCTTAAATCTCAACCTTTCACCTACTCAACAAAGATCTTCCATTTTTACAATTATGAAGATATCACTGTCTCATCCTCTAAGTCCATCTCTTGCTATATAG